GGGGGGGGGTATACCTTAAGTATGTTTTCACATTCGTCGGCACAATTTAGATCATTTAGGGGGCGAGCTTCGACTCTGCCTGCCAGGGCCAACCAGTGCTGACAGGTATATAGCATCCCAGAGGAAAGAGATACTCAATAAAAAATTATCCCACACTTGCGCATCGGACTCAGGTCTCCCGCGTACGGCAGCGAAGCACCTAACCGCTATACCATACTCTCAGATGTGTCCTCGTGTAACACATATTTTTCCTTTAAAAGCTGCTTACGAAGCAATATTATGCTGAATTAAGATATCATGAGTGTCCTTGTCTAATAGTAACATGTATCCCCTTTGACACAACCAAGAGGCTGGAATTTGATTAAAAAAGGGATAAAAGTAGTGCAATAAATCAACAAGATCAGAAGATTATTGAGTAGCTTTTGGCATCGTTACTAGAGGATTTTGTTTCCAAACTAGCTCGAGGTGTCTAGCTCTGTTATAATCAATAACATTTTACGGCAGACAGGAAACATCCATTTTTAAAATACTCCTAGAAGCTTCAAGTCTATTCCATCATGCGGGCGGCTTATTCGGTTTGTCTGCTCCGTCCCACGTCAGTCGCCGAGCGCTTTCCTCTCTCAAAGAATTTGTCCTCGGATTCTGCGCTTGGTCGGCGCTTACTTTTTTTTAAAAGTGTAGGCTTATTTATTCTTCCTCTTCGCACTTACATTTCTTTCCTGCGGTCTTATTTGCTCTGTGTCTCCGTTTTCATAGGTCTGTGTGTCTCTTTTTCTCCATTTGCCCCCCCCCTCTCTCTCTCTCTCTCTCTCTCTCTCTCTCTCTCTCTCTCTCTCTCTCTCTCTCTGTCTGCCATTTCAGCAGGCGCAGTTAAAACAGCCATCAGATCACACAGATAAGCATCTACGCACATGTTCATTCAAGTACATATATATTATATAAATATTCATTACCAGAGCACGTATGCTGAATTGTTGATAATTCAAATCTGTTATTGTTCACAGCTCTTCTTTGTTCAGTACTTGGGCAACATTTTGTCATCTTTTTCTTCTTTCTAAAAGTTCAACAGTATCAAAAGTATGCTACAACATAAATAAAATGAGAAAGTAGTTTAATTGAGATGAAACTATAACCTTGAATATTATTCCAAATGTAATATTCGCATCTAGAATGAAATATATAAATGTCTGATAATATCAGTGGAATATACAATACAGTAGTTGTGGTTATTTCCTAGTAATCTCTTCACTTCCGTGATGTGTCATGTGTCGATTAGCAATGTTCATCTTTCATTAATTTTTTAAAACCCTAGTCCTTTTCTTGTCTGTCTTCTGACCACCCTGACCACCCTGAACACCCCCCCCCCCATTCCCTCTCTCTCACTATCTGCTCTTTGTCTCTCGCTTTCTCTCTCTTTTTATCTCTCTCATTATGCCTTTCTCCTTTGTACCCACCCATCCACCCCCCCCCTCCCATACACCTACATACAAACGTGAAGAAACATCAATGACTTGATTGCTTGTTGCTTGGTACTCCTTTCATCAGACTGTCCAAGATTCAAAGAAGGGATGACAGCAAAATGCGGTTAGTGAATAGAAGCGTACTAGGATTGCTGTCAGAGAAAATGATGTTCAGAACAAAAAGTCTGAAGCACTTTGGCTTAAAACCCACGACATTTACCATAAACGGACACTTAACCGACATTCAGAGAAGAAAAAGTCTGTCGAAAGCAAAAGAAAATAATAAAAGGCAACCACAAACACCATCGATAAAAAAAACTTGTATTTCATAATAATTGTTGACTTTTACTATTGCAATTGGTATAATTTCACATTACACTGACTTAAAATTACCTACCTGACATTTTTAGCCGTTTTGGTTTACTGAGGTCAGAAACTAAAATTTAATGATCCAACTGTTCTACCAAAATCGTAAGATTATTCAGAATCGTTATATAAGATATTCAATTTATACATTTTCTCAGTAGGCAATTTCCCCAAAAGAGACCAAATATAGCTTGACAAGTGAAACTCAACTTGTTTCACGTCAAATTTCTCAAAACTAGGCCCTGGACATAAAGGGCTATGGTACCGAGTATTTGTAAGTGTATTTTATGTGTGAGTAGTAGTCGAAGTTTTTAATAGATCGTGGGGTACAAACAGTAGCATCTGATGAGTGATATGGTGGACTATGTGTGAATGTTTTTACTTGCGTGTGTTTACGTTTGTGTGTGCGTGTGTAAGGGTGTGTGTGTATGTGTGTGTATGTGTATGTGTGTGTGTATGTGTGTCTATATGAGTGCGCTTGATAACGAGAGTTTCTGCTCAGAAAACTACTTTTATTTAGTCTTAATATACGAGTGTCAAGATGTGGATTTCTTTTCTTCAGCCTATACGTATGAGACGACCACGCTATTGCAAATTACAACGGGCCAGATGCGTACATGTATCTCAAATAATGCTCTCGTGTCGACGACCATGGCTAGCCCTCACGGTCACCCTTGCACACCAGGGAAAAATAATGTGTACCTTGTGACTGTCAGAGATGATGATGATAATAAAATAATAAATGGTATTTATATAGCGCATTTACACAAAGAGGTGCCTAATGCGCTGTACAATGGTACAAAGAACATATTATGCAGCGCACAGCTTCTGTGGTATCCTCTTTCTCTCTCTCTCTCTCTCTCTCTCT